GTTTCTGACTCAGACACTTTAAGACCAGAAAGACAACTGCGGAGCTTACCAGCCAGCTTTCCTAACCGAAATTAGATGCAAATCTGTGCCAGCCTAAGCAGGAAGCCAAACTGGCCAGAATGAGATCAAGGCAGTGTGAGGTGTTCCAAAATATGATAAGGCTGACAGTGAAAAGTGATGCTTTGCTAGGTTAGGAAATGGAGTGTGTGGAAAACTTTGGTTAAGCACACCCAAATGATGGGTGTGGATGGTGCACGTGAAGAGAAGGCTTATTAGATCAGCATTCCTCTACCTTGTGCTCACTCTATGTGTTGCACTACAACTCCCATAATTCCCAGCAGGTGTCCAACACATACTTGGAAGGATTTAAGATGAGTGTGTTGCTTCACTCAGTAAATATATTGTCTCCTTGCTAGGAGCTCCCTGCCCTTAGCAGCTACACATCTCTGTACTGGAAGCAGAGGGCAGGAAGAGGGTACCCTTTGCCTAAAAGAAGTCCTGAGATTAGTTTTTAGCATTTCCAGTTAAAGAGAATCAGGTAACAGCAGATGGGAAATCATTTTGTGGAAGGCCCTGGAGAAAGCTTGCCAGTCAGAACAGATAATACTGTGCTAGGGTTCCCAGGCTGGTGCCCTTCAGATGGGTTGATCCACAATAGTTGATCCAATGGGTTGATCCAATCTGATGCCCTCCAGAACCTTTTGGATTTCAACTCCCATCAGCCACAGTAAGCATGGCGAATGCTCAGGGATGATAGAAGCTATAGTCCAAGGCATGTGGAGAACACTAGCTGGTGAAGGTGGCTCAACAAGTCCAATGAGCCATAGCCAGCATAGATGCTGCGGCCACCACCTAGCCATGTTCAACCCTAAGGCCACACGTGGTGCTGAGATGAGAGCTCAACATGCATGCACACACTCACCCACACCTTAGTGCACAGGAATGGAGAGGTTTACACAACTCGCCTTGCCTGCTCCAGGGATGCCTGGAGGCTGGGAAAGGCCAAAGCCTCCCACCAAATTGTTATTTCTCCACAACTATTAGCTGCATGAAATCAGCAGTCTCAGAAATGAACACACAGGGGTTGGGAGAGGCTTTCGTTTCTTTCCTTATCCACAGATTCCCAGCAAGATGGCTGTCCTGGTCCTGCTAATAGCTATGACAAATGTTCTTCAGCTGATTAGCTGATCTATAAGAGCTAAGAGACACTCAGCAGGGGCACTCCTGCACTAAAGCAAGGAAAGAAGTGCCTTCATGGAATACCTTTCCCAATTGCAATTTACCTCTATCAAACTTTCTCAACATCTGGAGCCTCTCTCTGACTGTGACCTCCAAGGGAGGCTCAACTGGTGACAACCGGGAGCAGGGCCTTCTCAGTGACAGCCCCCCAATTATGGAGCAAGCTCACCACTAATCAGCTTTAAATAATACATCAGAATATCATGTCAACTTGTTTTACATTTGGGTTAGGTATTATATCTGTTTTAAATTCGGTTTTAAATTTAGCAGTGATTTTTTGCTTTTATTCTTTGTATTTTATACTGCATTTTGATCTGTATTTCAAGTGTCACTATAAATCACCCAAAAAGCTTTGGCTGTTGGGTAGAATATAAATTAAATGGATAAATAAAGGGGTCCCAGGCTGTATTTCTTGGTCATTCTGGAAGAACTGAGACAGCAAGGACCACCTCATTGGCTCAGATGGCACCAAGCTGTTCCTCCTGTTCCATGAACTCCTCCTGTACTAACTACTTCAACTGATCAGTGTAAGAAGGAAGTCCTCTTATTTGAACTTAAAGGTTGATAGACAGACCTTACTTTAAAAGTATTTAAACTGCAAGTCTTGTTTTGTGTATTTATTTAACAAATTTCTAGCTGGCTCTTTAGCCAAAAAGTCTTCAGGAGAGATTTCTAAATAGCAATCTCTGCTTACAATCTAAAAGAAATGACCATACAAGGAAAAAGGATGGGGGAGGAAGAGGAAAAATGCAAGCTTAGGCACCAATTCTGACAGTTACAGTTTTCTTCCTGACCAGTTAGGATGGACAATTCAGGCAGCCTCATGAAATTAGCAAAGAGCCAAAAGCAGCTGTTTTCCTACAGAGGTGATGGAATTATCTGGGATATTTCTAGCCTGTCCAAACACTTTCGTCTCTGGATGGCTCACACCAAACAATCCAATGTTTCAAATAGTCCTGCTTCTCTTCCCTCCCTCTGTTCTTTACCTGTTAAGACTCCTGCTGGCTAGGTGACAAAAGGTAATTATAACTACTTTATATAATTACTTTATATTAATTCAGATAAGTTAAATAACCTTTGTTAAGTGTTAACTACTGTTACTGTACTATTAATTGCTTTAATTCTTTAGAGAAAGTCCAATTATTTATTATCATACCAAAATCTCAGAAGTATGATTAGAAATACAAAATTTGTCATTAAGAATGCAGATAGTCTGCAATTATTTATTTTATTCTTAGTCACCACTTAACGAAGGCTCTCTGGGCAATGAACAATAATTTATAATCACAAGTCCAATAACTCAGCAAATTAACTACATAAAGCCTTATAAAAAGAAAACCATTCATAGTAGAGCAGTGTTTAAGGTTGTTTCAACCATAATTACATATTAAAATTTTTAAAAGCTACCCTGCAGCGTTAGAGCCATATCCTAAAACCATCATAAAACAGGGCCGGAAATGTTAATGTAAATAAACAAGTAAGCCTGGTACTGAAAATATATTTAGAAAGGAAACCTATGCATGCTGCCTATGGAATGCTGGGGATAGTAGGACTTGTTTTGTCAAAATATGCAAAGGGCTGTGCCCTTAAATGGACACTAAGGAAATGTCTCTCAGACAACACAACAAGCTAAGGTGGTGTTTTTTAAACCACTCTTGGTCTTTCATGTTGTGTGAACTGAGCCATGGTTATTTCCCCATGGTAAATTTGGTCTTTAGAAACCATGATAAGAAACAATGCTTTGCTCTATAGCTTCCCCCTACCACCATGGTCTGTTCTATTGTCGGAACACTGGATTACAGTTACCCTGGTTATGGTATGCAACTACCCAAGTCCTCTAGAAAGAGTGGTAACTGTAGAAGCCACTACAGCCTCTAGGTGTGAGCCAATGAGTAAGAGGCAAGCAATACAGGCCTTGATAGGAACATTCGTGCTGTACTCTTCTAGCCTTTGACAAACTGATTTCCAGGCCATACAGGACAACAATGCACTCTATATTACTCACACTAATCCAATAATCACATATGGTGTTGCTAAATTCTTTGCAGCCGCAATAGGTATTTGAAGAAGGAAGTTGAAAGAGTGTGGACCTATCTACTTAGCTAGGTGAAAGATAGTCTGGGGAATATTGTCATTTATCCAATATGGCTGACGTGCATACTGGTCTACTACTAGCATTAAGGTAGTACATTGTGTTGAAGTGTTTATCACTTGGAATGGGGATATTGTGTATGGCATACAATTTAGAACTGATGCTGGGGAGTTGTAGGTTATTGGCACTGCTACGTATTCTCTATAACCAACAGCTAATATTTACCTATATTTCCCCAATATTTCTGTATTGCCTTTTAATGTTTTACTTTGGTCTGGTCTTTGACTGTTATAAAGTTTTATTGCTGGAATCTGGATGTGCCCACATGATTTAAGATGAGTTTTATTGTTGCTAATTGATGTTTGATGCTGTTCTTTTACTGCTTTACTGTACTACCATCCTGAGACTTTCAGCAAAGGATGTGTTATAAAAGCTTTTAAATAAATAAATAAAATTTAAATGAATTTAATGCTATCATTTCATGTCATTTTTCTATGTTTTGACATTACTCTTTCCATTGACTGCATGTTTTTATTGCTTTTGAATGCTACAAGTTTATTTATTTATTTATTAAAACATTTCTATGCCGCCCCATTCGCCGAAGCCTCGGGGCGGCTTGCAAAGAAATATCCTAACAGACAGTGTGTGTAGTAACTGCTACTCCTAACCCACTTTAAATCCTGTTGATTAAGTAAAACTATTATCCAAGAGACATCACCCTGCCAACAAAAGTGTGTTTAGTCAAGGCTATGGTTTTCCCATTTGCAATGTATGGCTGTGGAAGCTGGACCATAAGGAAGACTGAGCACCAAAGAACTGAAGCCTTTGAATTGTGGTGCTGGAGAAGACTCCTGCGTGTCCCTTCGACCACAAGATCAAACCAGTCCGTCCTAGAGGAGATCAACCCTGACTGCTCTTTAGAAGGCCAGATACGGAAGATGAAACTCAAATACTTTGGCCACCTAATGAGAAAGAGGACTCACTGGAGAAAACCCTAATGCTGGGAACAATTGACGGCAAAAGGAGAAGGGGACGGCAGAGGATGAGGTGGCTAGATGGGGTCACTGGAGCAGTCGGTGTGAGCTTAAGTGGACTCCGGGGGATGGTGGAGAACAGGAAGGCCTGGAGGAATGTTGTCCATGGGGCCGCGAAGGGTCGGACACGACTTCACGACCAGCCACATTATCCAAGTATGACCACAACTGCAACCCTAGCCCCATTTAACTTGAAGCATATTCCACCAGGTCATGCTAGTGGGCTTACTCCTGACTAAATGCATATATAGCAGTGCCTTTTAAGTCAGGACAGAACTCATAAGCCAATGAATATTTGCACCTCGGAGCAAGGCGGCAACCTTCCTGTCCTGTGTAAACTGCCCCACCCACCTCAACGAGACTTGCACAGAACTGCGCTGTAAATCACACGCCGAGGGACTAACTTCCGATGAAATGTGCCTGCCACGGGAGCTGCGTGTAGGTCTGAGCCGGCCCAGGCAGACAGCTACGCCTTCACCTGCGGCTCCGTGCACCGTGGGCCCACCTGGCCCGGGCTCAGATGGCGCCGGCACAAGAGCGCCCTCCCCGAAGCGCCCAAGTGCCCCCATGTCCACCTCCCCGTTCCGCCAGTGCGCGCGCGCGTTTCCGACGTGACGCAACGTAGAAGGCGGAGCGGGTCTCAGTGACATATACGGAACTGCACGTCACACCCGCTGGCAGAACCCGGTGGCGGCAGGAGAAGGGCTGGAAGGTGCAAGGTGCGTCCACACAGACAGGTGAGGCGATGGCGCACGCACGGGAGCAGAGGACGACTGGCAAGGGAAACCGGGCTGCTTCTGCCCAGGTGCTTCTGGGGGAGCTTTATTTCTGGGGGGAACCCCCTTGCTCCCCCAGGTAGGAAAGAAGAGGGGTGGGGATCCCTGTGTACCTTCTTGAGGGTGGGGAGCCCTTCATCGAAGGTGCGTGGGTTGTGCTTTCATGCGTGGCGTTCCTTTTATGCTTTTGAACATCTGCCAAATGTTCCCAGGAAGGTGTTGCTGTTTTCTGTATATGCTGGTAATATTCAATATCTAGATACAGATATATAGTATATGGTTGTTATGTTAACGTGAACACTGGGATCAGCGGGTGTAGTGGTTAGCATCTAGGACTGGGACTTGGAAATTTGGATTGTAGCTCTCCAGGTGACCCCAGGCCAGTCTCTGGCTTCCAGCCTAACCATGCACCTCTTAGAAAGTTATCCTAATGGAAATAGATTGCAGTTATTTAAAAGGGAAAATGCCCTCCAATGTGTTACCATAGTTGGTTAAGAGTGGACTCTTATAACCTGTATCCTCCAAAATTATGATTCAGTAAGTTTAATGGGGTTTACTTCTAGCTATAGAATTGTTTAAAAAAATCATTCCCAAAGGAGCAGTCTGAATTCAAAAGACCATGACAGATGTGTGATCTCATGCATGCCTACTAAGAAGCACCATTGAGTTCCATGGAACTTACCTCCCTGGTGAGGATCTCATCCCAAATCTGGTGCATGCTAACTGAGAGCAAATCACATCTTGAACTCAGAGGGACTTACTTCTGAATAGGCATGCATAGGATGTCACTGTTAAGGCTGCCTTGGAGACTGTTAAAACCTGTACAATTTATGACAAATTAAAATAAGCTTGCTTCTTGGAAAGTGTGCATTTGTGTTCTCCCCATACACCTGCATGCACACAACATTCACCAGGAATGTGCCTGAAAGGGTAGAATTGCTCTTTCTTTGAGGAGACAGGCTACTTGAAGCTGAGAGGAAACACCTATCAATGGATATGAGTGTTGTTGGTTTGTGGTGTTTTGAAGGCAGGGTTCTTCCTTCTCCTACAGACCTCCTTGTGTATTTGTTGATTTATTTCATTTCTATACCACCCCAAAGTAAAAGCACTCTGGGCAATTTACACAGTCCATGCATGGGAGGGGTGGAAAGAACCCTTTCTCTCTTTTGATGAAATACTTCCACACTGGCATTTAGAAAAAGAGCAGAGTTGTTTCCCAATATCCATAGAAACTCCACTCCTGCTTCCTTTTCCAGATTATCCACTTGGATAATCCCAGAATTTTCTGAGTTTTCTCCGAGCTGTCATATAAAGAGTGCTGAGAACAGCCCGAACTGTGGTATCCTTCCACACCATCTTTCTCATTCTCTCACAGTAGCACCCTAAGTCATTCTACCTCCAGAAAATGCCTTGGGTCAGAAGGTGGCCACCCTCCTCTGTAGTTCCCCAACATGCAGAAAGGTAGATTTTGGGAGAATGCTAAATTAGGATGCTTACATCTGATGTGCCACAAGGATTTCTGTGTTCTTGTGACCCTTCATCTTGTGACCTGGAAGGTGTAGACACAAGCTTCACCAGCTCTAATGTAAAAAGATTTAGTGTTCTCTTGTGCTCTGATTTCTTGTCAACTCCCAACCCAGGTTGTCCTGCTCCATCCCACTGCTCCTCCAGCACTGTCAAGAGGAGAGGAGCAGCCTGTCCTCTCCCTAGAGAAATCAGTCAGGAAGAGTGAGGAGCAAAGCCAGCCCTGCTGCCCCTGACAATGCAATTCCATACATATCTGCCCAGAAATAATGAGCATTGTTGAGTTTCATGGGCTTTGTCCTTGGGCAGGTATATATAGTCGGTGGCCCTCCAGATGTTGTTGATTTCAGCTCCCATCATCCCAGGTCATTGGCTGTGGTAGCTGAGGCTGAAAGAGTTGGAGGCTAAGAACATCAGGAGGCCTGTCACAGGTTGCCTTTGCTGTTTTGGTGGGATTGCATCCTGAAATGTTTGTTGCACATAGCAGAAGTGGAGCCATAGAAAGCCATAATCTTTCCAGCTGTTGGGTACTTTTTTTCCTTCTCTTGCTTGAGCCTTGCTAGCCACAGCAAGAATGGCTAGGTTTGTGTTTGTTTATTCGTTATACTTACATCCAGCCTTTTTTCTTTCAAAGTACACATCATCTTCCTCCTCCTGTCTGTTTCATCTTCATAACAACCCTGAGAGGTAGGCTACTCTGAGGGTCAGTGACTGGCTCAAACACACCCAGTGGGTGCCATGACAGAGCAGGGATGAGAACTCAGATCTCTCAAGATCTGGTTCAGCTCTCCAGCTACCATTCTGCATTGTCTAACTCAATTTAAGTTTATGCTGCTCTAGCAAAAGTGATCGCTTATTCATTTACACATAGGAAACAGCCATAGCCTTCCACACTGTACAGATTATAAATCTTGTTGTACATATCTGAGTACAGTCAGCGACACTATTTATCGTTACATTACATTTATATACCGCCCATGGCTGAAACTCTGGGTGGTTCACAGCACGCAATTCACCCATCCAGATTTCAACCAGGCCTGACTCTGCTTAGCTTAAAGATTAGGTTGGATCAGATACCACAGCCTATTTAACTCCTAAGATTCATCTATTTAATATGCTACATTTTGTATTGCTCTTCAGCTGAATCACTAAATTCCACAACAGTTTACACAGAAGAAACAAATAAAACCCAATTAAAATAAAAATCCAAAGAACCAGGAAAAAATTAACTAAATGCCAGGACTATCTTTAAAAGCTCGATAAATGTAAATAGGACTAAAATTATGTCTGAAAGGGCTGGGACAGTGATAAGGGTTTTGCATGTTGCATGTCTGGTTTTAGTTTTTATTTTACAGCCACAGACCAGGAAGATTAATAAAGAGATGAAATAGTAATAGAAAAAATAAAACATAATTAAAACAAGTGCAATTTATACAGTATTTTAACTCAAGTGGGTGACCACATTTTTCCGGATCTGCATTATAGTCATTAAAAAATTGGCAACATTTGCTGTAACATAAGAAGAGACATCGCTTATACAAATAAATACCAGATAGGAAGAATTATTTCCATAAAGATCTGTTATTAATGCTTTAATCTATTTCTCTCTGCATTCCCTATAAAAGCTGCAATATAAGAGAACATATTCCACTGTTTCTACTGTTCCAGCACCATATGTTTCATGTGACTGAGCACCCTTTTTCGCATGAACCTTCTCCTCAATCAAGGCCATCTCTGGGTACCTTCTCCAAGGGAGACTCATAAGGCACCCTTGAGGGAGAGGGCCTTCTCAGTGTCAGCCCCGCAATTATGGAGTACTTCCCAATAAGGACCAGACAGTGCTAATATTGCAACTGGCAGCATGTGATAGGTTTTTAATCAGCTCATGGGATATTTGGGAGGAGATTTGCTCTATTTGTAAGTTTGTAGCTAAACATATTTTTGTATTATGGGTAATATTACATGTTTAAGGTTAATCTGTGTAAACGAACCCAGGAGCTTTGATTATTAGGTGGTATAGAAATGTGATAAAGGAATGAATTGAAAGCCTTTTTATAAGGCAAAAGCATTCTAAACAACTTTATTCTAAAATAGGAATGGGAAACTTTTAATTTTCCAGATGGGTGTTGAAATCCCAAGGAAACAGCATCCCCAAGTTGTATGGCCAGTGGTCCAAGTTGGTGGGAACTGTAATGCAACAATATCTGGAGATCCTTAGAGTTCAATTTTTTCACAGGCTACTAAATTATGAATAGACACCAGTCAAGTATCTACTTTGGAGGTGGTTGTAGAGGTGAAAACAGATTCCTGCCCTCTTGTGGTTCTAAAACCAACTAAAACCTGCCCTCTTGTGGTTCTGTGTGATGTTTGAACAGCCCTTTCATGGAATGTCAGATCTGCTGGTGGGGAGGACTTTGGTGTCTTGCTTAAAACAGAGCTCTTCCTCCTTGTCTGATCCAGCATGAGTATCTTCGGTGATGCTTTTTCATATACAAAAGCCACATTCCAAAAGAACAACAGTTCTGAGAGGAAAATGGAGAGGGAGGGATGCCTCATACTGATTCCATTTAACTGATTCCTGTTAAATGTTCAACAAGAGGGATTTGTATGATTTGCACTTACAGACAGATGATCCAAATTAAGTTTTTGCTGCGCAGTTGCCTTGCTCCAAGCACCTAATGTATACAGGGTTCAAATGTTGTCACCATTTTCCATTTATTATCCTCTTGTATTTTCTTACCATATCTCCCATCTTTTTTGTCTTTCTTGCTGTGAAAATCCACAAAGGAGGAAACACATAATAATAGTTGCACAATGCTTCTTGTTTGGCAGTGCTGGGAGCAGTCCATGGGAAAGCCCCTCGTGGTTCAGAATTCTTCTACCCTGAGACCTGACTCTCTTTGTTTTCTTTTTGGATAATGTGATGCTCTCTTCTTCCTTCTTCTCAAACAGTGTACTTGACTAGAGAGCACAATGTCATGGATAAAAGAAGGGGAACTGTCCATCTTGGAGAGATTCTGCTCCAACGTGATAAAGGTAGGCATTAACCTAGTGCTTTCTTATCAAGTGTGTGGGTTTGCTGATTGCACTTAGAATGGATGGGGACACATGGGCAGTGCTGTAAGCACTGGGGTAATTTTCTGCAACCCTCCAAGTGTTTTTGGTCTACAATGCTGATCACCCCCCATTAATGGGAGCTGTCATCCAAAGCATCTGGAGGGATTGTAGAGCAAGGATGCAGAACCTCTGGTTTGCAGACCTCATCTGGGCCACAGAGGTGCCACATTCCATTTTGCAGATCCTCCTTGAATTCTTACATCTGATCTGAAGGGGCCTCAGCCTGTGCTGAGAGGGGCAGCCTGCTTTCCCAGCTCCAGCTGAGTGGGCCCATGCTGTGCTTCTATAGGACTTGTGCATGCTTTTCAAACACAGGGGCTTGTCCAGTATCCCCATGAGGACAAGACACACTGTACGGATCCAGGGACTCAGCCAGACCTTCCTTCCAGTGTTGACCAAGTCCTTTGCTCAGCGTGGAGGAAGCCAAACAGGGTGGGAGGCAGGGTGGTGTGATGACATCAGTGAGTGTGGTAATGGAGGACCTAATGCAGAGCAATTTGTCCCCACACCCTATTCTGCCCTAGAGGACAAGCCTGTCAACAGCTAGTAATTATTCCAGGTGGCTAAAAGGAAGCAGCGTGTACAGAGGAAATAGAGCTCTTACTAGAAGATGCTGGGGGAAAACGTGGGGAGTACCTTAATGTCTCTGCTTGTGACTCAGAGAGGATTCTGGTCGAGTGCAGCTGACAAGAGAACACAAATCTTGGTCAGATCTGGCAGAGCAAGGGCATTTCTGTACAAGCAAATCAGAAAAAATTGCTCAGATTCGCCACGAGCTTGACTCTGCTATTGAATCAGATTCTACAGGGGAGACGCCATCGATGCCGTCAAGTCCACAATTAATGGATGAATTTCAGTTGTTGCGGCCTGATGATGTGGACAAGGTGTTTGGACAAGTACGTCCTACCACTTGCTTACTAGACACATGCCCATCTTGGCTACTTAAGAAAGCCAAGGACGGGATTGGGACCTGGATCCTGGAGGTTGTCAACACCTCTCTGAGGGATGGCTGGATACCTGCCCCTTTAAAGGAGGCGGTAGTCCAGCCAGTCCTAAAGAAGGCATCCCTGGATCCAGAGGTGGCCGCCAATTATAGACTGGTGGCCAACATCCCGTTCCTGGGCAAGGTGCTAGAGTGGGTGGTGGCGGGACAACTCCAAGCTCTCTTGGATGAGACTGATTATCTGGACCCATTTCAGTCCAGCTTCAGACCCAGGTATGGCACTGAATCTGCCTTGGTCGCCCTGTACGATGACCTGTGCAGGGAGAGAGACGGGGAGTGCGTCCCTGTTAGTTCTCCTGGACCTCTCAGTGGCTTTTGATACCATCGACCATGGTATCCTTCTGAATAGGCTAGCGGGATTGGGAGTTGGAGGCACCTCGTGGTGGTGGTTCCGCTTCTATCTCAATGGCCGATTTCAGAAGGTGGTGCTGGGGGACTATGGCTCTGCGCCATGGCAGTTATGCCATGGAGTTCCGCAGGGGTCCATTTTGTCTACATGAAACTGCTGGGAGAGGTCATCAGGAGGTGTGGGCTGCGGAATCAGCAGTACGCTGATGATACCCAGCTCTACCTCTCGTTTTCCACCAATCCAGGTGAGGCAGTGGCTGTGCTGAACCGGTGCCTGTCCGAGGTAATGGGCTGGATGAGGGCCAATAAACTGAAGCTCAGTCCAGACAAGACGGAGGTTCTGTTGGTGGGTGGCTTGGGCCTCGGGATGGGGGACTTGGACCTTGTCCTAAATGGGGTTGCACTCCCTCTGAGGGACAGGGTTCGCAGCTTAGGAGTGCTCCTCGACCCTGAGCTGTCTCTAGAAGCTCCGGTGACGGCAGTGGCGAGGAGCGCCTTCCTTCAGCTTCGGCTGATACATCAGCTGCGTCCCTTCCTGGACAATGACTGCCTGGCGACAGTGACACATGCGCTGGTAACTTCCCGATTAGATTTCAGTAACATGCTCTGTGTGGGGCTACCCTTGAAGACGGTCCGGATACTTCCAATTGATGCAGAATAGAGCTGCCAGGTTGCTGACGGGGACTGGGCGTTGTTCTCATATAACCCCTGTTCTCCGTCAGCTCCACTGGCTCCCGATTGAAGTCCGGGCCCAAATCAAGGTGTTGGTTATGACCTATAAAACCCTAAATGGCTTGGGACCTGGATATCTAAAGGAACGCTTGCGCCCATATATGCCCTCCCGCCCCTTGAGATCAGCAACAGATGCCCTTTTCTGGGAACCCTCTGTGAATGATATTGGGAGGGTAAGTACCCGGAGGAGGGCTTTCTCTGCGGTGGCGCCCCATCTATGGAATGCGCTCCCCAGAGAGGTCCGCCTGGCGCCGTCGTTATTTGGTTTTCGGCGCCAGGCTAAGACCTTTTTATTTAAAACTTATTTTAAGTGTTAAATTATTGAATTCATTAGGATTTTAAAATTTTTAGCTGAGAATGCGCCGGGGGTTTTTTAAAAGTTTTTTTTGTTATATTATTATTTATGTATATATTTATGTATTCTTTGTGAGCCGCCCCGAGGCTTTGTTGCGAAGGGGGCGGCATAGAAATGTTTTAAATAAATAAACTCAGAAAGCACACAAGCAAGTACCTTGAAGCATACATTTCCCTGCTTCCCATTTGTGTTGTAAGCCGCCCCGAGGCTTCGGCAAGGGGCGGCATAGAAATGTTATAATCATCATCATCATCATCATCATCCCTGGCCAGAAGTGTGAGTGGGTGTCACTGCCTTTGAGCTGTCATTGATCTTGATGCACAGGTCAGGATGTCCCCAAAGAAACCCAGCAGAGCTCAAAAGAAGCTGGGGTGGGGGCGGCTTTGAAACTCTTCTTGAAAAAACTTAATTGCCTTTGATTTTAAAATAACAAGAGATTCCCATGTGGTCTGATCACTGTTGCATCATATTTCCTGCAGTTGCCCCTGGATGACTGACCAAAACAGGTCCTGCCAATTATTCAGTGTGTTACATTCACACATTGCAATTCCTCAGTACCTTTCAGTCTAGCTGGGTTCAGCTCTGACCCTTCCATTTCCATTGTTTTTCTTCCAAGCTAAGCGACAGTTATCTAAATCAGGGTTACGCAACTTGTTGTTGGGTTAGTGAGGGATGGTGAGAGTTGGAGCCCTAACAACGTCTGAACTTCATCCTGATTTAAAGTGCACCTGCTCTCTCTCACGCTCTTTCACTCCCACTCTCTCTTTGTCTCTCCCTCTGTTTTTGTAAAGGGGAGTAGAAGTGCATTGCTGATGTTGTTGGCTTTTTCATCCCCACATCCTTTCCTGTTCACTGTCATTGTTGCAGAATAGCCTCCTCCACTCTAGCACCCTCTGCATAGGTTGGACTACAAGCTCCAGAGACCACGGCACAGGTTCAAAGTGAAATCACACCAACTCTTACCTGGTGTCTGTTCACTCTGACTTTTCTTGCTTTCTTTGCCTCCAGGCAGGCCCAATGCCCAAACACATAGCATTCATCATGGATGGCAACCGGCGTTATGCTCAAAAGCATAAAGTGCGGAAACTGGAAGGACATTCACAGGGATTTGCAAAACTGGCACAGGTGAGAGAGCATCTTTTTTTATGGATGCCAAGGCTAAGCTGTGGTTTTATTCCATGACTTTCTCCTTTAGATGCAGATGCTTGGTCCTGCCCCATCACTATAGACTTGGCACAGGGTGGATTACTGGTGGCCTTAATGCAGAAGTGGGAAACCTCTTTTAGCTGGAGGCCAAATTCCATTTTGGAAAACATCTTGGGGGCAGCATTCCACTGGTGACTGGGCAAAAGTCAAAGGGGATGTGGTCAAAGACAAAATACCTTAAAGCTCTTCCTGCCAAGAACCTTTTGCCACTTAGAAGGCTGAAAAGGCATTTCAACCTTTTAAAATGGGCAGGGGGATGCACATAATGCAAAGTTGATGGAAGGGTGGAGGGGGAGAACCAGGGGATGGAGGGCATTGCCATCTGAGGACCCTTGAGAAAAAGGTGGGATATAAATGCACTGCTTACAAATAAAACAGCGAAAATGAAATAAACTGCACATTGTAGAACAGGCACAGAAAGGTCCAGATCAGCTGAATGCAAACTGAAAAATGTATTACCAGGTTTGCTTCTTCCCCTCTTCAGAAAAGCATTTGAGGGCCACAACCAGAAAATTGACCGTTCTGTTCTATAAAGAAGAGCCTATGCACATAATCTGCTTTGTATTTACTAGTGTACCAAGTTCCGCCAGCCAAAAGGAAGTGCAAAGAAGCGTCCAGGGTGGGAGGGAAGCCAATGGCCTGCTGTTTTCATACTTTAAGATACAAATACAGATCTGAGTCACTCTAAGTTGGTAATGCTAACACTCTTTTTTAACGGAGGGAGAGCTTTTCAGTTGCTTTCATCAGAGCATTGGAAATTAGATACTTTTGCTGATCTACAAGAGGCAGGGTTCATCATGCTTCCAGAAATTAACTTCTCGGTGAATTTGGACTTAGGTAACTCTCTCCCTCTCTCTCTCAACAGACACTGCAGTGGTGCTTGAGCTTGGGTATCCGTGAAGTCACAGTTTATGCTTTTAGTATTGAAAACTTCAAACGACCCCAGGAAGAAGTAGATGGCCTAATGGAATTAGCAAGGCAAAAATTTACCCGCCTTCTAGAAGAACAGTAAGATCTTTCTGTCCCACTCCTCCAACCCACAAGCCCTAACATCTGCCTTTCTAAAGAATGTGATTGTATTTTTCTGTATGCATTAAGAACTGGATACTGTGATGTAAGTGGTCACTGTCTCCAGCAGAAAATGTGAATTAAGTCTGTGTCAGAATAGAGTGTTACTCCGATAGCGGAAACTGCAGGATATTTCTATCCCAAGCACCTAAAGTAATTCCACTACGTTATCTCAAAAGCATAGTGCTGGAAGTGAGTTTGTCTGAAGCATCAACAAAGTTCCCACAGTGCCTTAAACAAACAAGTTTTAAAAGTCTTACAATATTGCATAGAATAAAAGCAATAACACTAAAATCATTTGATGGAAAGAAGTCAGTTTAGAAGCTAAAATGAAGTTAAAAGCCTGGACAATTTTTTAAAATGCCTTCACTTAAAATGCCGAAAGACAGCTAGTTAGGTGCCAAGCAAATCTCTTTGGGAACAGTATTACATAATTGGGCTGGCACCAGTCAGAAAGCCCAATCTCCAGTAGGCCCACCAGCACACTTCACCTGGTGGAGGAAGCAAGCAAGACCTTGGGCAAAGATCTTAAATCCAAACAGAGGGATGTAGAATATCTAGAACTGGCGTCCTTACAGTAGCTAGAATTTCTGTATCACTCTGTTGGGTGGGTGGGATGGGGCTTTGATAGCTGAGGCTATATGGACCATTGCTATGATGTTTACATTAACTTATTACTTAAGGCTTATGGGATTGTTGCCCATTAAATAGAAGTCTCTGAGCTTCTGAAAATCCTAGGTCCTGTTCAGCTGTTGCCAGGAAGAAAATAGCAGCAATTTCTCCTCCTGCAGCTGCCCCAGAAAGTTAGCTCACTTACTGGTGGTGAACAGGGACAGGAGACAGAGAAGCTATGGGATCTCGCCTTTCCCTTCCCTGCCTGCTAGAGTTCCTCCTCCTTGATCATTATGAGGTTGGTGGAAAGCAGCCGGCATGATTCCTTCCCCCACAGCTGAGAGCAGGAGCAGGAGCAGGGCTGGAGAGGATTCCTCCTGAGGTTGTAGGCGTGTCTATGGCTTCAGGAGGAGGAATTCAAATATCCAGGGATCCCTGAGAACCTCTCTCAGGAATCACAGGATGGCTCTGCCCAGGAGCATATCTGGGGACTTAACTGATTTCCCTGGAACAATAGAGTTCCACAGTTCCATCTGTTCATTTTGTTTTCACTACTCTAACAAACATGTAATTTCCAGAGGAGATAGCTGTGCTATCTAGGGTTGGAAAGACTGTGCAGATCACATCATATCTTGCTTCTCCAAAGCAAAGCATTTCATCTAAACAGATCCTTTATAGAAAGACTGTTGGAGAATCGGAACAATTTCACATGCTTCCAGCCAGTAAGCAGTCCTAACAAATGTGTTGAATCAACAGATGCTTGTCTTGGTCTGTAACCTGATCAGTTCCTTTCTCCTACGGCTTTACTTCCTCTTTGCTCCTGCAACAAGCAATATGTGGGAAGTGAGCAGCTATGCCTTCATGTACTTACACTTCAGCATTCAGCTTTTGGGGATGCTTGCAGTCAAAACAAATCAGACAAACTTATTTGACAGTGTATGAAAGCACAGATTTGATGTGAATTCCTTCTAAACTGGCAGTTAGCTCATGCTTATGCTCTCTCCTACTAAATGCTTACCGTACATTCTGGTGACTGTACTGTAAGTCACACCAGATTTTCCAGCTGAGACCCGGGTAGCATAGCAGTTAAGGGAATGAGCTAGGATACCCCCACTTCAAATCTCACTTCTGCAGTTAATTCACTGGATGACTTCAGGCTGTTTCTCAGCCCCTGTTACAGCCTCCAATCTATAAGATGGGTATAATAATAATAATGGCCTATCTTATAAAATTGTTATAAGTTTTACTTGGAAAATTCTATATGGAGAGCATCGTGCACTTAGGAAAAGAGCTATGGTTATAAGGGAACATACTATAATTTAAAACTATTATATATTCACAGACAAAAATTAGGCATGCAAGTATAACCTATACCATCATTACTACGTAATTATTTAGTTATTTTAGGTATGTGTATTGCACCTTGTCCTGTGGTTGTGACTTTGAAGCCTCACTACAGACAGCACATGTGTTGGTAGAGAGAGAAAAACACTGAGTATGTGCAGAAGACCAAATTCTCTTGGCTGGCTAACTCAGTGGCCAAATCAGGGAGAAAGTGTTGTGCTTCTTGGAATTTATCAGTCAAAATGGCTGCAGGCCTGTAATTAGCATGTATGCAATTGGGTTGGGAATTTCATATTTTCAAATTGAATACTAGCAGAAGTAGAACATAATTATTAGGTAGATTTTATACCCCGCCCTTCCATTGCTGTCGTAACTTTCAGACAAGCTTGCAATGTAAAAACATTTACAAAATCAAAACCATTTTTTTCCAAAATACAACCAAACTGGTAAAAGAGATTAAAAGTCATCAAATTAAAAAGTAAGTTTTTAACACAGGGATTTGTATGCTGCAATTATTCTTCTCTGAAAATGAGTAAAATAATCTGATGTGTAATCTGCACTTTTAAGAAAGAAAAAAGAGAATTTTATTTTAGAAGTATGATGTAAAGACAATATAAAAATGAAAATATCAGCCCAGTTTTAGGTCATTCTTTACAGATTTGATATAAATGTTTCAGTTGTTGTCCCTCAACATCCGCATGTTGTATAGGTTTTTTGTGATGCGATCCTATAGATGTCTGCTTAGAAATAAATTCCATTTTCAATGGGATTTATCCCTAGGTAAGTGTATATATTCTAAATCTGAGTTCTATTACAACTGCAAAATAATTCATTTTCAGCTGTAAGTCTTACTAGCTACTGTACCCTTCTTTGGATGATGGACTTGAACTTGATGGATAACATTCTGAGGACACCATTAATGAAATGAAACCATTTTTAAGACTGAATCTGGATTGGTCACTTGACTATATTGAGTAGCCTTTTCCCCAGAATTTCAGAAACTATTCACAGCATACCCTATTTTCCCTCCAGGATTGTGACAAATTCTGCCGTTGCTACTACTAATAAAATTCATTTACACTTGTGATGGTTCATATTCCCCTTATTGTCTGGAATTTTGGGTAGCTGTGTAAATCAAGGGAATGATGAAAACTGTTGTAATCTTAGTGTGGTTGTTGAATGCAGATATAATTAAATGCTTGGCGTGTGAGCAGGCTCCTTCCTTTTCATTGTGTAAACCGTGTTAGGAAATTTTCCTCAGGTTATTTCTGAAGATGATTGATGAGCAAGATGAGACTAGAATTTCTGTTGGCACCTTCCTGGCCAGTGGCACCATAAGCCACTTTCAGTATTCCAGTGCAGGCTGAATTAAAGAACAACTGTGTACATAGCCAGATTCTGTACTTGTGCAGCTGCTTACAAAATCAGTTTGGATTGCCAGCTCATTAGCCACAGTGCTAATAAATGCCTCTAGGTGGATTAGTTAACCTATGTGTATTTTTTTTAAAGCAACAACAGTGACAACACACAAAAACCAAAACCTACCACATAATACATTTTGTTGTGGTTCAGTCAACTTCAGTGAATTTTGAATTGTGGCTTCCAGGTGTGTGTGTGTGTGTGTATATATATATATAATATGAGGCTCTCACAAAGGACAGCATACAAATATCTTAAATAAAATAAATAAATAAAATGGCTCTGGAGCTCTTAGCAGGGAGAGCTCAAGGAATCTCAAATCTATCACAGCCCTGTCATCTTTCATGCACTTCACCTCTTCCTGTGGGACAAACTTTGCATTGTGTCTTCCCTTTTTCCATCCCCCCTGCCCTCACCCCCAGTGAAGATGTAAGTAGGGTCCTCTGGAAGTATTACCTTTGGAGCCACATAATGATTCCTCCTCTCTCAACTGTTGCCACCTGTAGCCATTCCAGCAGGCTGAGCTGAGGGAGATGAGGAGGTAGCAGGACTATTCTACCAACCCTGCCAAAAGCACACCTCCCTTTCCTCTTTGTTCCTTTTTCCTTGTTTGCTGTAAGCCTGCAGGCAGAGACTGGGCTATATGGAACTTGCTCTGGCAGCCCTGTTAGCTAAGGAGTGGCATAAAGATATTTCAAATAGATAAATAACCAAGGGTAATTTAATCTGATCCTGTGTATGCCAAGTCTTTGTTGGCATTACTAGTATCCGGTTTGCACGGGTTCAGAGAATTCAACCTTTCTCTTCCCTCTTCCCCCATTTTAGAGAGAACTTGGAGAAGCATGGTGTATGTGTCCGAATTGTCGGGGACCTGCCCCTCCTGCCACAAGATATTCAGGAATTAATCGCCAAGGTGGTGTTGGCAACAAAGCACTTCAATACGTGAGTCCTGTTGCGGTTTTTCAGATTGTTTCCCACAGAGCAGGGGTGTCCCACTTTTTCTTAGAGCCGGCTCCTATTTTAGAGGGATTCTCGGAGGCTATATCCCAGGGTGGGGTGGGGTGCGGTGGGGTGGGCTGAACTAAAGCAAAAAAAATGTAGTATATTTTAGCAGCATATTTTAGCATTGAGATTTTAATGCCAGTAATAAGCCTCAGGAGAAAAAACTGCAAAACCCAGGAAAGCCAGCCCTTCTGAGGAAGAAGGCATAACCACTGCCATCCAGCTAAACGTTATCCTGCCCTCCTTTTCCATTTATCATCCCAGACAGTATTTCTGCTGCCTCCTGCAGCATCCATCAGCAGTTTGCTTTCTCTCCCTTAACAACATAAGAAGAACTCTGTGAGGGCAGACCAAAGGGCCTATTTGGCCTACTTCCTGCTTTTCTGCAGTAGCCAACCATCTGCCCCACTGGGAATCCCATGGCTGATACCTGGAGAGAGAGTGCCTCTGAGCACAGATGGGTGAGATGCAGATGGATCTTGTCTCTTTCATGAATGTGCCTCATCCCTTTTAAAGCATCTAAGATTCTATTGCCATTGCCACATCTTGTGACAGCGAATTCCATTGCTTTAACTATTCACTTTGTGAAGACGCCCTCCTTTTGTCTGTCCCAAATCTCCAGCTAATTTATTTCATTGGAAGGCACCAAGTCCTAGGGTGATAGTGTGCTTACTATTATTTTGAAACATTTTAACTTGACTCTTAGCCTCCCAGCACAGCTAATCAAGATAGATAATAAGACAGTCCCTGCCTCAGCCATACTGTCAAAAAGACACAGCACAAAAGGAAAGGAAATTGGGAGGGAGAAGAAAAAAGCAAGCCCCAGACACAAAAGACTAGCACCCGTGTTTGCTTTTTTTCACCTCCTTTTTTCCAATCCCTTTTCCTATCTGGTGTTGTTTATTCTACTGGTTATTGCTGCCAGGCTGGAGCTCCCTGCAGCTGTTCCTTCTCTGGCCAATGAATGGGTGGGTCCAACTTGATAACCCCCTTGCCATGATGTTCTTTTTGGGAGACAAATTAATAGAGGGATAAGCACTGCTCCTTGTTTTTTCCACCCCTTCCATGATCTCATTATTTTGAATTTTTAAAGGTGTTTTTTGAACATTGGCTTTGCATACACATCAAGAGAAGAGATCAGCAACGCAGTGAAAGAGATGGCCTGGGGTGTTGAAGAAGGGCTGCTTCAACCCAGGTAAGCCCGTGATTGCCCATGTGCCTGTGCATTTGAGAACATACCTGACTTTAGAAGTGGCACTACCACAGAGGCGTGCATCTCTAGCATTTACAGTTGTCAACTCCAGATAGAACTTGGAGGTGAAGTCTGTTCTTTTGGATTTGTTGTGAAAATGAGGTCTGCACAGTGCTGGCTTGATAATAAGATTGCAAATCTTATTATCCAATTGCAATTATTAAATTATAATCCAATTGCAAAGCAAAACCCTTCTTCTCACCCCACATACTCTTCACCATCAAGGGCCAGTTGTGCCCATGGACCCAAAAATGTTGCTTGCCCCTGCCTTAACTTAGGTTGCTTGCACTGCAAGAGTTCTACTACAAACACAGAGCAGATCTCAGCATCCTGAAGTTGGCCTCCTCTAATCTGGATGAAAGCTGATATGTGATCCAGAAGGTCATGAATAAACTAGGATGAGTAGTGTTTGGGTGGCTGAGCTGTAGAAAACTGGAAGAAAAATGAAAAGTGCTGCCTGTATACTTTGCCAGCCATCAGCAAAGCCTGTGACTGGGGGTTTCGTCACATCTCCTCTCAAAGAGAGCCAATATGGTATAGCGTTTACTGTTGAATTGGAACTCAGGAAATCCAGGTTTTCTGGGCTGCTCTGAGCCAATCATTAACTATTCATTACATTGGTTACTTTGGGCCAGTCCTTACATTGGGCCAATTACAGGGTTGTTGGGAGGATAAAATGGAGAGGAGGCAGACCATGTACCCTGAACTCTTGAGGAAAGGCCAGATATAAATGCAACAAATAAAGAAATGGCTGCATTGCACCATCCTAACATGGAGATCTCTCCGATGTAACCATGAACAGTAAGGACATTCACAGAGCTGGACAAGGTGCAGAGCAGGATAACCAAGATACTCGTGTGATTTGGGTACCCTCCTGTGAAGTGTTTGGCACTTTTGCCATAGAAAGGAAAGAGAGAGGACATAATACATGTATACAAAACATATACACACTGTGGAGGAAGCAGAGCAAGAAAAGTTTTTCTTCATGTTTCACTGCACAGTGAAATTAATTATGATCAAGCCAGACAGAAGGAAACACCTCTTCGTGTACCACATGTTAGTCTATGAAATTTGCGGTTGAATATCAGCAGCTTTAGCCATGAGCCTTGGTGGGTCCCCCAAGGCCTCCACTTGGCCACCGTGGATGAAATGGAATGCTCGACTTGTCAGGTATTTTTTGTCTAATCGAGCAGGACATTCTTAAAGGCCACCTGCATGCCTCCCAATGGGCATTTTGCTTGTAGATAATAGATATAGTAGCCTTCCTAATGCAGATTCTTGTCCTCCTCTCCTTTAGTGATGTGTCAGAATCACTAATTGACAAATGCCTCTACACCTGCAAATCTCCCCATCCAGACATCCTGATAAGAACTTCCGGAGAGGTCCGGCTTAGCGATTTCATGCTCTGGCAGGTAACATCAGACTGCAACGAAGCCATTGCCAAATCGTGAGATCGGCTGCACCTGCTTTGCCAAGGATCCTGCATTTGGAGTTGGAGGTGCTATGCTGGCCTGCAGCCTGCAGCCCTTATCCTGCACTCCTTTGTCCACTCTTCTTATAGAATACCTCCCAGGAAAGATCTGTGGACATAGCCCAGTATGCACTGCTGCTCTCAGGACAAGGGAGTTGCAGAATAAGGGCTGTATATGTTAATGACTGAGGTGATATAACTCTGCTGGCTGGAAATTATGGGAGTTGTCCTCTGACACTTTTGGAGGACGCCAGATTTGGGAAGCAGAGGGGGTCTGGACTGGAGCTGTAAGCCTAAACTGGGGGGTAGAGAATGGCTTTCAGCCCAAGGGACAAATCCAGACTTGGGTGGGGCCAGCATGTGGTGTAGCCATGTCCCACCTGTTGCTACACCACAAGAAAGGCACTTCACAAATGGGGTGGGCGGGAAGGGGGAATGGAACAACATCCAGAAAGCCCTTGGTGCTTGGGGGAAAGTGGGTGAGACCAGGGGAAAGGCACAAGGCTGCTTGGAGGGAGGGATCTGGCCTGTGGGCCCTGAACTTTCCAATCCCAGGCCTAAGCACTCTTTGTGAATTGCATGGAGCCTAGTGGGGCTTGCTGCCAAACAAACATGCACAAGCCCACCTTCAAACACTCCACTGTGAAGCTGTCTGGGTGACTTTGGCCCAGTGATACTCCCTTTTCCTAGCCTCCCTTACAGGGTAGTTACGGGTATAAAAACCTGCAGCTGCACCTCCTTTGGCTGATGGATGGGGCCAAGCTGGTCTTTCCCCTACTGTGAACTTTGTCCTGGAAGTGGGGTATGCAGTCTTCTGGTGGCCCTTGGTCCTCTGCCGAGTGCACGAGGCCAGAATGTGCTGCTGTTTGCCCTGTATTCCCATGGAAAGTGAGATTGAATGAAAAGCCTTTTGTGGGTTGGTTCTAGAACAGTTTATGGCGGCATTGCTGGCTTCTGTTGTATTTTTTCCTCCATGTGCCATACATTAAATGCCTTGTCTTTCTTTCTATAGACATCCCATTCATGCCTGGTGTTCCAATCTGTGCTGTGGCCAGAATATTCTTTCTGGAATTTATGGGAGGCTATCCTACGGTTCCAGATGAACTACAATGCTTTGCAGGTAGCTACCCCAGAAGACTAAGAGGCTGAGACAAAAGGGCAAACCACAAGCTCTCCGTGGACATATTGTAAATGATTGCTCTTAGACTTAGGAGATGAGGAAATTACGTAGCTTAAAAAACAAGGCAGCATACTCTAAAAATTGCACATTCCACCCCCCCCCCACTCTCTAGCAAATTGGTGTGGTGTCTAATAGCACTTTTTAAATTTATTTTCATTCTGTCCTGCAATTAAAAATTTCTCATGACAGTTTCAATAAAAATGTTGCAAAGGACAGTTAAAGTAGAAATAAAACATGCCTTTTTTAGACCAATGTTTTAATGCCAAAGTACAACTGACAAACAATATTATAATAAGATTCTAAAAATACTGTCACAAATGTGGTAGATATTGAGTCATCCTATTAAGCAGATTTTGGAAGAAGGAATGCTGAAGAACACCATAAAGTTTGGCTCCTCTTCTCTGCTTCTAGGATGTATTGACTGTGTTTCTAGAACACTTTGGAAGAAAATCCCACAGGACAGGAGAAGAAAAGGTGTCTAATCGTGTTTTTTCAACCTTACTCTGCAGGACAAACCATGAGGGCTTGAAACATTATAATTTCGGAAAACAAAATTCTAGCAAAGGGCAGTCTCATCCCCTGAAGGTTGCACATGGTCTCTGGGTCTTTCATCACAGGCCTTTGGCTAATAGGAAGTCAAGTGTACTTTAAGTAACATGCCTGCCAGAATGTTTTCCCAATGACCATTTAGACATTCTTTTGTGGTCTCTTTTATAAATAATTTTAATCCACAGTGGAGATAATGCTGCCATGCCTCGCCCTTTTCCACCACCATCTCCCACATTTCAACGTTATAAAAAAAATCTAGGAAGAACAAGGGGATTCACCTAGGAAATGGTGGAAGAGCTCCTCTTGAGGCATCCGTGAGTCCTGGGACGAAGGTGAGGGTAATGGCAAAGGTCCCTGGCCAGAGCAAGATCAAAGGACTCTGGAGCCCACCTTTGCTCACTAGCCAAGCATGCCTGCCGACTGACATTCCTCCCAGCGGTGCAGGCAGGAACAAATGCTTACTTTAGCCACCATCGCCTCTTACATGGACCTCTCTGGGAATTCTGGACCTGGTCACAGGGTTCTCAGACGTTGCAGGAGATCCCTAAGGCCGAGGGGAGAGGGGTTCACATTTCTGCACCTGGTTTGCAAGCCTCAAACTTGAAACTGTAGGAAAAACAAAGAGGGAAGCTTTGGATTTAGTACTGAGGGAGGAAGTGTGCACAGCTCCTGAGGTAGGTGTTAAATTTACAAAGGGAATAAAAAGACATGCAAGAACCAGAATAATGTTTGGAAACAAGACTTCATACAAGAAATATTCATGCCTTAAAAGGTGATGCTCAAAAGAGAGCCAGTGTGGTGTAGTGGTTAAGAGTGCAGCACTGGGATTCAGGCAACCTGGGAGCTCAGCCATGGAGCCAACTGGGAGACTTTGGGCCAGGCACAGACTCTCAGCCCAGCCCACCAAACAGGCTTGTTGTTGTGGGGAGAAGACTGAGGGCAGCAGGAGCAGAATTATGTGATCTGCTTTGAGTTCTTTAAAAAGAACTCTAAATCTAATAAATAAAAATAAAGGAAGCTGTAAACAAAGGACAGCTACAGCCACCTCTTATGCACGAGCCCTGACAACTCTAAGGAGATCTCTGAGGCAGGCTACAATAGTGTTCCCCAACCCTTATGAGGGAGTGAAAATTTCCCTAGAAAATTTACTCTGACCTTCAAGCCACAGATTCCTTAGGACAGCAGAATCACTGATGGTTACAGCACTCTATGCAACTTCCACCTGGCCAAACAGGATCTTTCAGAGTTAGAGCACAAAAAGGCAACAGGATTTGTGGCAACTTAACTTGGAGTTGTGCGAGAGGTGGATTGTGCCTTCTCTCAGTTTGATCTGAGGTGAACTGCAACTTGCTTCTAAACCTGTAATTTCCTGTAATTTCATACAAGATTTATTTTGTGGTTTCCCAATTAACTTTTATTAGAACAGAAGTAAAAAGACCCTATCTAGCAGTGTCTGAATCTGTTGTGTGCAAAATGTGTGCATTCCTGTGAAACTAGTAGTTGTAGGGAGGGAGATGGGAGAGGGCAGGCAAGACCAGTTCAGAAAGGAAGAAACCAAGGTTAAGAAGGACAGACTTGTTGGGTTGCTGCAGGGTGGGGAAAGAGGAGAGGATCTTGAGAGCCAGACAAATGCTACTTTCTGTTGGACTGTGTGCTTCTTACTTGTGCCTCTGTCTGTTTACACTACCTTTTCCATGCCCTGGCATTCAACTACAACTCTCGCCATCCTCAGCCAGCATAGCCCCTGGTATAATTGGCAGGAGAAGATGGGAGTTGTAGTCCAATACTTTGGAAAGTGCCAGGCTGGGGGAAGGCTGATTACACTATAAGTCAATTTTAAAAGCTAGTATGTTATTCCCCCTTTTCCCCTTTCTTTTCAGAAAGCCAGAGATCTGTACATGGAAGAAAGGAAGTGGCAGCAGATGGAAAGTGACAAGGCAATTGTATTGGAGAAGCTGAAAGAGGAAGACTCCGCATCCTGTGCAGATGCTCAGAAACGGCGGATGCTCTTGCAAGAATTCAGAGCTAAACGGGAAGAGAGAATCCAGGGGTTTTTGCAGGCCCTGGAAAACAAAAGAATGGACTTCCTAGAAAAACTGACAATGGTATCTGCATGATGAAAAGGACATTGTAGGGCTGAGTGGGGGTGGTGGATGAAGGGGAAGAGGGGGAAAAGAGAGCCAAGTTAACAAATAGTTCAGGTGCTACTCACTTGATCATGGAATCCTGTTTTTGTGTGTTTTCAGTAGACATATACCAGTCTTTGCTTCAGGGTTGGGAACCCATGTCCCTTCAGATGTTTTTGGACTACATCTCCTATCACCCCTGACTATTGGCCAAGTGGGCTGATGGGAGTCAGAGAACTAGTTGTTTCCCCCCACTCCCTGAGCTACCTTTTTAATATTTCTAGTTATCATCCAAACTGTGGTTGGGAACATGGTACCTGAAATGAGTTTATGGCTTCCTCTGTTTAATTCAACAAAAGATCTTGTGCTGGCTATTGGTTAAGAAAGGACAGCACTAAGACAGTCTTTGTGGGAAGACTTGCAGTTGTTCTGCTTTCCCAAAGGGCAGAATTTCCATGCGACAACTTGAAAGACTTTGAAAACTTTGCAGAATTCTAAAAAACCACTTGCTTTAGAGAGCAGGGAAGCTGCAGCTGAGGGAGAGGGAGCCTGTTGCATGCTGAGATGAGGGCAATGTCTGTTGTCTAGAGCTGCCTGTTTTCTCCTAGTTGGGAGACAGGCTGTGCCCTCCTGTTGTTTATAGTCTTGCACCAGTTTGAAGGATCAAGATGTATGCATCTCTGCAGGGGCACACATTTGTCCCACTGGCTTCAATCTTTTGGTACAAACTTCCTCCTGTTTGGCTCCATACATGCTTCAGAGCTTTGGGCAGACAGCTTTGGGCTGGCCACAGTCTAACCTGTTCATAGTGTATCTAATGCAGCATGTTTTGCTGGATTTTTAAGGTGGTGTTTTATTTTTGAATACAAAAATATATAAAATAAAAAATATTCTCTCTAAAACAAAATGAGAAAACCCACCACCAATGAAAAAACATATTCAGTATATGGGGTACAGCTGTGAAGATGATTAAAACCTCAAGCTGTGAATAAAGCAGTTTTGTAAGAGTCATCTTCAAAACCAAGTGGATGGTTATTAAAAGTTGCCATTCCAAGGCTAAATGAAACCAAAGCCAGAAGGAGTGCAGTTTAATGACTTTCTGCATTTCATTCTAAATTTGTGAGAATGAGGCACTGTCAGGGGGCTGATGTAATTCAGCAAACTGCTTGGAAGTTGCATCCTTTTTGATGCAAGTAGCTAAAGCTACAGTCACAAGAACGTGGTGATGACATCATGGGAACTTTTCCTCAAGCAGTGGTTTTACCTTTTGTGGTGAGCTGCATCTGTGCATTTTCAGTGTTTGGAAATGGCTTTTAAGTATGATCTCTAATACTTGAAAGTCTCACCTGCTTCTTGTATGATGTATATGTGTAGGAACAGCCTAGTTATGTGGTGTGTCTCAGACAGAAAATCATATATTAGTAAAAGTCTCTACTGCATTAAAAACAAACAGGATAACATGTTGAAAAAGGTGAATGGCATATTCTGTGAGAATTATGCCTTTACATGAAAGGTACTGCAGAACATGAATGGGAGGAGCTGTTGCATTTATGCTGTGTTGAGTTTCTCGTGGACACCTGTGCAAACAGAATGCTGGATAGGTGTTTGTCCTAAGCACAGCTCTTCTTATGTTGCATCAATCTGAATGAAAGTTCCACTGTGTCCATGTGGTTTTGAAGTAGATGCTGGGTATTCCAAGCCTTTCTAGTAAGTGTATGCAGAGAAGCATCCACCAATGGAACTGATGTGGTATTGCTTCGCAAGTACTTCCTATGGGTTATTTACACAAAGGTCTACCTGTGTAGCTGGTTTTGTGATTCTCTTCTGTATTGGGCAAAACACAGTAGGACAAAAAGGCGCAGGAGCATCCAAAGCTGGGCTAAACTATGTCAGACCCTTGATACCTCTACCCGAGTATTGTCGATCCTGACCAAAAGAAGCTGTTTGGTTTTCAGGCAGGCCTCTTCCCTAGCCCTAGCTCATGATGGAACGCAAGACTTTCTGCATGCAGAGTATGTACTCAGTCTTCCAGAGACAGGCCCTCCCAGGTGGTGATGGCTGTGCAGCATTACAAATGGCACTCCAGGCTGTGTCCACTTGCTAGTTGCCTACTTTATTAATAGACTGCATTTTTTAATTCATGACCTATTAGAAACCCTAAGATGGCTGCGTGAAACACCATCTTATATATAGTACAGTTTGACAAGCACTACATGCTGCTCTGTGGCAAACTAATCCCCTCAAATACTACCTACCAGTTTGTGGTATCCAATTCTGTGAAGTCATTTGAGCAGTGGATTGTTGTGCTATTTGATGCACACATGCATACGCGCGCACACATACACACACAAAAGGATTGGGCCATGAGATAAAGTTTGCTTTGTTGTAAAATACATTAGAGGTGGGAAGACGTGGCACATAAAATTTCCTGTTTCGAGTCATAATTTTTAGAAATGATTACATTGTCACTGAGAAGTTTTCTGCATAAACCTGGGATAAATAAAATACAAATCATGGAACAGCAGTCCAGTATACTTTTTGTCCTGAATGCCCATTTGGGGGCTAAAAGATGGGTTGCTTATAAGAATGAATATCTTTCTTAAAGAGGTCTTCATCCACTAACTAGTTAGGCTGGCTGGGATGCAAGGTAGTAACCCAACTCCAAGCATTTCTGGATTGGCTAGTTTTAGATCAGATCCAGTAGTAGAATGATCAGACTGTTTGGATGGGTTTCTCCCTTCTTCATTTGGAAGTATTCCCTGATTCTGCAATACTCCTGCATTTCCAAGGATAAGCTGAACAAAGTTTTTGCCTGGGTTTGGTTGTGGGAGGACAGACCTAGTCATGGTCAAAAAAGTAGCTACATATTTGTTAAAGCAGCTATATAGTGTAGCTTAACCTTTGTACAACCTGCTGCCCTCCAGATATGTAAACTCCCATTTTGCTAGGTTTGCACATCAAGATTGGATTATTTTAATGTGCTTTAGCTGATGCTACCTCTGGAAATTGAGGCTAGTACAGGGTGCACCAGCTAGACTGACATCTGTTAAGTACTTTTAAGTTGCAATCTTTTAAGTTATACTATAGTTCTCAGGTAGTTTTATTGGGATGGAAGTAAACTGGATTGTATAAACACCAGTTGGAATTAGCTTGTCCTTCAATAATTGAATCTTATTACATCTATAGTTCTCATTTGGGCCAAAAATGGCACTCACACCAGGTAACAATGTTAAAATTCAATTTTAAAAAAATGAATTTAAAACATGAAAATAGACTAAAAAATCAGTAAAAACAATACTCAACCAATTAATTTTATTTCTATACTGACTAACAGCCAAAGCCGTCTGTGTACAACAATTAATAAAATAAAACACAGAAAAAACATAAAATTTAAGTTTAAAACTGAATTTTAGCCTCTTAAACAGCTAGGATAGGTTCGTGCAGCTTGGGCTGCTAAAGCAACTGAAATGCCCACTCCCCTCCCCCTTTCAAGCTATTAAATGCTTTAGCGTATAGAGCAGTTTGAGACTGACACCAAAAATATAGTAAACTTGGTGCCAGGTGAAACTCAGTGGGAGATCATGCCATAATTTGGGGCCAACACCAAGAAGATCCTCCTTGTTGCCACCAACTGAGCCTCCCTTGAAGGTAGCAGTGGGGGAAAAGCCAGGAAGTGTCCAGTTAAACCCCTCCTCAGTGGCAAGAGAGCACCTTAAATGTCAAAGGCCTATCTAAATAAAAATATTTGCTTGCAAATAAAAGGATGATATACAAGGAGCCAACCAAGCTCTGTATTATTTCAGTGGTGGCAGAATGAAGTACAAGGGCCTCTCGCACAGATCTGGGAATTTGGGCAGAATTGTTTGGAAACTAGGACCAAGTTATCCAAAAGACTGCCATCATATAGAACTTTATTAGTCATAACCAGTAGTCTGATGTGTTCCCATAAACAGACTGGAAGCCATGGACGTTTTGTGCAAAAGAGCTGTTTACTCCCTGAATCCAGCTCCTGCCCACCGTTGGAGTTACCATCTCCCTGCTGGAGTTACCAGTATCTCCTAAAGCCCATTTTAAATGATGACCTTCTTCCCTGCCACCTGTAATGCTCGAAGGGAAGGGGCTGGTTTCACACCTGGGAGTGTTTATTGGCAAAGAGGGGGAAATCCAAGTCTTTTCATCTCTTCATTGGAGATGTTTCAAAATAAGATTTTGAACTGCTTGGTCAGTATGGTGTCTCCTCTGCCATGCCTGTGTCCTCAGTTATGCACCGGATCCTCAAAAGATCCTTGTTCTTTCTGTAGCTTTAAATGGAGTCATTGTGATCTTGGCATTTATAGTATTTCACTACTGTAAGAGAAGAGCTACAACTCAAGAGTAGAGTACTTACTTTGAATACTGTAGGGCCTCAATTCAGTCTCTGCCATCTCCAGTCACGGCTGCTGGTCATTGTAGACTAGGGATGTGTACATATATCCCAGTACAGCCTGCCCTTTCCAGTAAGTTGAAAATGATTTGCACAAGAATCTGTATGTGTGTATGGGAGGGAGATTGAAATCAATATTGTTCATAGTAATGGTACAGTCAGAAGGAAACTGGTTTGTGGTGTGGGGAGCCGAGGGATTTAGTGGCAAAGGATATGAGTACCTAGGGGGCAGATTGAAGGCCTTCAAGGACTGCAGGTTGTGTGCTCCAGGTGTAGACAATACTGAGCTTGATAGATCAACAGCCTAACCTGGCATAAAGCAGCTTTCTACCTTATGGCGAACTCTATGTTCAGAGAAAAATGGCTGGCTCTTCAAGCCTGAATCTTATTGGGAAAGCACTGGTAGCTGTACTAACACCTGGGTGGTGAAGAGGGCTGAAGAATCATGAAACTTGCTTGGAAGGTTTCTGGAGGCAGTTGGCTGACCATCCAGAAGCTTTCTGGTGGCTTCCCACTGGGGCCATCCAGCTGCCTCTGCAAAGCCCATCAGCAAAGCTGGAAGGTACTGCCCCTTCCCCGTGTAGCTCTAAGCAGCTAATGTTCGGAAGCATGGCGCCTCGGACCCTAAGGCAATTAGAGCCTCCATCATTAAATGTTTTTTACAGCCCATGTGGAAGCCAGGGCTGCTTCTGGCTGCTGAAGAAACGGGGCGGGGGTGGCAGGGTTTTCGCTGCTATCTTTCACACCTAGTGGAGCCTGCTCCCTACCGCGGTGGTTCTGACCTTGGGGTGGCAGGGGACGGCGCCAGCGGGCGGCATGGTGCTGAAGGGGACAGCTCCTCACCTGGCCCCCGCCAGGGGAGAGCTTTGGGTAACAGCAGCACCACCGAGCCGCCCTCCGTTTCTCCCTCCGGTAACGGGGGCGCAGAGAGGCGGCGGCTGCACCTGAGGCCCGAGCCTGACTGCTCTTGGAGGAGACCCTGCCAGCCCGTCGTCAAGGTTGAAAAGGAAGGGGGCGCTGTGGGTTACGTGCGGCCGTCCTCGGGTAGGCAGTGGCCGCACCTTCCTTTCGAGCTGCACGGAGAGGCCATCTTCTCCCTAAGTCTGCACCCGGATTTCTTGTAGGGGGCTGAAGCTGTCCGGAAAACCCTCTTCTGCATTCGCAGTTTCTTGCCTAGCGCCGCTGAGGAAAGCGCGCGCCGTTAGCTTGGCCAGGTGCGCCGGCGAGGCCCGTCCTTCGCTCTCCTGCAGAGAGGAAGGGACGCTGCGCTGCCTTCTCACCGGCCACCTTCGCGGCAAGCTTAGGCGCGCTTACCTGGGCGCTTACCTACCGACTCCGCCACGAGAGCGGGCAAAAGCTCCTCGCCGGCCGAAATAATACTCGTGCAACATATTTTAAGATCTAAGCGGAGAGGTGCCTTTATTTTTACGTGTGCGTGTGTGGACGGGCGGTGCAGTAAGGGAGGCGTGAGAACCTACTATATGCTTCCCCCCACCCTTCACTACGGATATACGTAACGGACAACAACACCTGCATGAATTATTGTATTCTTCCCTTTTACATTTTTCTGCATATCGGAAATAGAAAGGGCATACACACGCACACATATACATATTATGTACTCTTGTGTATAAAAACAAATCTGTGCCCTATCGCAGAAGCAAGCAACAGCTTTTGCTAGCAAGGAGGAAGACAAGACTAGTTGCGCGCGCCCCCTTCGCCTCTCCTCGCAGCGCCCGCCTTGGCCGGCCCTGGCCACGTGATGCGCTGTGTCCAATGGGCGGTCGGGGCGGTGGGGATCCGGCTGGAACCGGTTGGGCCGCGTCCGGGTCTATATAAAACTTTATAAACACCCGATTCAAATTAGTGGGGTCGCGAGCGACACGAGCGAGCCCAACAAACGGAGCCCCCCCTCTTTTTTCCGTTCTGCCTCCCCTTCTGCTTGTGTGGCTTTCCCTCATAACCAGCCGAGTTTCTTCTTCCTCCTCTTCCAGAGGAGACCTTGCTTTTATTTCCAACCGAGCCTCTTCCTCTCTCTTTCTCTCTGTCACGCGCCGCTGACATGCCCAAGAGAAAGGTACGTGGCTGCGGCGAGGGAACCTTAAAGGCCCGGACGCGAGACGGGCGAGGGGGAAGGAAAGGGAAGAGACGGTAGTTGAAGGGAGTGATGCTTATGCGGGGGTGATATTCGGATCAGCCGCCATTTTCTTTCCTTTCTCTTCTTCCACCGACCCACCTCCTTCACTCCGTTTGGATGTGTTTTTCGTTTTGTTCTGCTTTGGTTTCCCTCACCCCTCTTTCCCTCCCCCTTCGGGCGATTAACGGCTAGGAGGCTGGGGGAAGCGCGTGCGCGTGAGACGGCTCAACGGTCGTCGTCAGGACTTAAAAGTGGAGACGAGGAGGAGTGGGCGGAGCAGAACAAGAGCGACCGTTAATCGCCGCGCATTCTTGGTGGCCTATGAGGGAAGTGGGGGGCTGCGAAGCTCTGCAAAGGAGAGGGCGCGCGGGGGGAGAGATAGCGGGAGAGATAGCGCGGGCGCGCGCGGGCTAGCGCGAGACCGTTAATTATTGGCTGTCCCTCAACTTCACTCTCCGTCCGTGTGTGTGTGTGTGTGTGTATGCGCGCGCGCGCGCTCTTTCCCCCCATCCCTCCCCACCAATAGGGAAAGAGCACGCGCCCACTTGCTCGCGGGGAGGGGGTGGGGGGGGAGAAATCGAACCCGGACCGCTTTAGTCGGGATTTTGGCGGGAGGGTGTTAGACTGGAAGGACGCACGCACGTGCGTGGCTGGCGGTAGGAGGTGTGCGCGTGCGCGTGCTGGGAAATGGAAAATAGGCGCGCGCTCCATTTTTCCTTCTTTCTTCCTCCTCCTCTTCCTCGTCTTTCTACTATATGGGGATGCGCTGTGTCCTTTACACACACACTCATTCAAAAAGGGCGGGAAGGCGTACTGTTACCGCCCCCAAAAAGCGTTTGTTTCGAAAGCCCCGGGGGAGGTGTCAGCCCTGTTGAGCCTTCCAGCAGTCTTGCCAGTTGTATTTTTCCCATTCGGCAGCCAAGATGTTTAAGGAGACTCCGCCTTTTGCCCTGAATGCTCTCTTAAGTAAATCTTTCTCTCCCCCTGCCTTCTGCCTAAGGGTGAAAGTGACCATCTTTGCTCTTTCGAGGCGAAGGAAGTGCAAGACTGCAAGTTTCTCTTCACACTGCACCCTGAATGAACAGCAATTGCCACACTCACGTTGTGGCCTGCTTGGGTTGTCATATCCCTGCAGCACCCACAAGAGGCATTCTGAATTCAGTTTTTTAGCTATGTAAGGGGATGGAGGCTAGTAATGGACCTGGAAAAATTGTCTGAGTTCTGAATCTAGGGATATCCCCTTGGAAAAGAATCAGCACAGCATGGCCCTAAATGTGGTACAGCACATAGTAAATAGGTCTGTAGGGGCACTAGGAGTAGGCAGAAAAGCCACAATTTGCAAGATCAGAATTCCAGAAATAAGTGAGATCTTGGGTCTGTTACATGGACTCAATAGAGGTCATAGTGTTCGGAAATAAAAGGAGCTATTATGTTGCCTAATGCTGCAATGTTGGGGAATAAAGAATAATGCATCAAAATAAGGGGCATCTGGCAATGCTTTCAACTTTCAAACTCATTTCTCTTTAAAAGGATGTAGGGTTCCCAGAAATTCAAAACCATACGAACCATCAAAAATATGAAGTGATATATATGTTTATTGCATATTCTTTATTGAGTTCGTAATTGTCACAAACATGAGAATTAACTGAATTCAACAACAGCCTTCAGAAATTACCATAGCATGATCTTAGATGCTTCTGATAGTGCTGTAAGACTCTAAGAACCCCTACTCTGTTCACTTCCATCTTATTATTTTCATCTGGTTCCTTCTTTATGTAGCTAGAAATACTCTGTGGTTTTGTGTGTGTGTGTGTGTGTGTGTGTGTGTGTGTGTGTAAAAGAGAAGAACCTCAATATGCCAAGCTTGATAATATTCAGTATTGATATTTTGTGAGTTTATTATATAATTGATGTGAGATTCTGAGAAAATTTAAATTTGAGGAAAGAAGAAAAATTGCAATGTCATCTTTCCACTATGTCAAATAATGTTCTTTATGTATTCAAATAAATGTGGCATTTAAACTGTTAAAAGAAACTGGATTGTAGAAATTTGATATCAGATATTTTCATCAGTTTCATTTGTTCAATTCCTTGTAGGCTGAAGGAGATACCAAGGGTGATAAGGCCAAAGCAAAGGATGAGGTAAGAACACTTAGAGTTCTTAAGTTATAGACCATAATTTATGATGGGATTCATCTAAACTTAGTAGATCCATTGAAATCAATGGGACTTTAATTAGATTTCATAGTGTCACTTTAAGTATGACAGTCCAGATCTAACCCCAAAATGTGTGTGTGTGTGCTCTGGTCTATTTTAACCATACAGGTCATGTGAATTGGGCATGAAATGTTTCAGTTTGTGTTGGTTGCTTTTATTTTTGATCCTTCTAATAAGCCTTAAAAGGTTCTAACTAGTTGACATTTCTTTCTTTTTTTTAACAGCCACAGCGAAGATCAGCAAGGTTATCTGCTGTAAGTATGTTGTACAATAGAATGCTTTTAGGAGTGGTTTTAGCACTAGTGGCTTAAGGAATTGCAGATAGTAATAGCATGCATTTGCATTTATATTTGACTTATGAAATCCTATATGTGTTTAAGACAGAAAAGAAAAAATTACACAGCTCTTTAAATGCCTGCCTGGGCCATGTGTTTAGACAGAAAAGTCTTACATGTATAGGATTGCACCCTGAGCTGTCTGCTAAACATTGACATTACGTGCTTAAGTAGAAAATTGATGTACAGATAATCTTACTTCAAAATTATTAATGGTATTTTTCCTTTTAGAAACCTGCTCCTCCAAAGCCGGAACCCAAACCTAAAAAGGCAGCTCCAAAGGTAAGGCATATACTTTATGTAATTGTGTTTTAATGTACTTTGGTTTCTCAGCCTGGGATGCTTTTAAAATCAAATGTTTTTAAATGCTTTGAAGTTCTTTATGTTAATAGTTGTTTGTAATTTATGAAATAACTGCTAACCCATTTTTACTGATTTACAGAAGGGTGAGAAGGTACCCAAGGGAAAGAAGGGGAAAGCTGACGCAGGCAAGGATGGAAACAATCCTGCAGAAAATGGAGATGCCAAAACAGACCAGGTATAAGAACTATATATTTTATTTATTTATATAGCAAAAAGAACCAGTGTGGTGTAGTGGTTAAAAGACTGGGACTTGGGTGACCTGGGTACTAGTCACCACTCGGGCATGGAGCCAGCTGAGTAACTTTGGGCCAGTCACAGATCCAACCTATTATTATTACATTTCAATACTGTCCTATATCCCATTGGATTCCCAGGGTGATGTCCAAATTCAATTACAGAATACACAGTAAAAACAATGCACTGAAATAAAAATAAACAGTACAGCAATTTAAAGTAGCAACAATAGGCCCACAGTAACTCTAGTAGAAAACCTGACACCCAAGCAGCAGCATCCAGTGTGCTGGCTGGCCGTGATGATGCAGCCCCACCTTGTCTCTGCCTGTAGTCTGCAAATGCAGATGTGGCAACCAGTCCCTTTTCTTCCTTCCCCTAGAGCTCTCAACCACTTGACATTGCTGGGGGGAGGGGGGGAAGCTGTAGTGCCAGGTGGTGGGGGCAGCAGAAGCTCATATACACAACCTACCTCACAGGGTGGTTGTTGTAGGGAGAAGATAGAGAGGAGGAGGAAGGGAATGATGTAAGCTGCATTGAGTTCTTTGTAGGAAAAAAACAGGGTATGAATCTAATAAATATAGTAGCTTTGTTTACATTGACAAGCAGACCGTGTAAGCAGATAGAAGCAGAGTTTGACCAAAGATAAATAATGCGGACCGCTGTATGTCCTATAACTGTCTCCTTTTTTGTTGTGAGTGAAACTACCATTGTAGTAGTATGATGCTGGCGATGTTTGAGATAGTAATTTTAAATACAATTCAATAAAATATTTTGTGAAACTGCCGTTCTGCACTGCTTTTCCCATCAAGATGGTACTATTAATAGCTTTCATTGTCTTTCAGGCACAGAAAGCTGAAGGTGCTGGGGATGCCAAGTGAATTGTGTGAATTTTTGATAACCGTGTACTTCTGGTGACTGTACAGTTTGAAATACTATTTTTTATCAAGTTTTATAACAATGCAGAATTTTGTTTTACCTTTTTTTTTAAAGCTATGTTGTTAGCACACAGAACGCTTTGTTGTTGTGTTTTAGGGGGAGGAGAGGGGACAAATGTCATTGATTCTGTTACTTAGAACCTGGGCTTTTAAAGTCCCCCTTCAATTTTGGAAGAGGGGGTCTTTGTAGACACAAGGAAGGAGAATTTCCTGATACTGTTCATCTGTATTGATTTCTGAAATGGTGGTATGAACATTGAAATTCCTAATATGCTTGTGTCTTGAGGAGGAGGTAAATTTAAAACGGAACTTCCTATGTTTGTTTTTATCCACATTGTCATTTACATTGCGTTTATCACTCCTCTTCTGTATGGCATGGGGATTTTTGTTTTATGCTTCCATAAATCAAATGCATTCTCACAGTGTCAGAGAATTCAAACTTCTGGTGTCAAATACAGAGGGAGTGAGGATGGCTCACAAATGAGCCACATTTCTTTTTATAGTGTGAATCTTCAGATTAAAAATTCTGCAGTTCTGTTTTCCTCTAAAAGTCAGGGTAGGCTTGTGAACGGTTGTTAAACAACATGCTAAATGTGAAAGTGTCCACCCTCACTCTAAACTTTCCCTGTTCCAAGTATGAAATTGAAGCTTCTTCATTGGATTTTATATAGTAACTTTACATTTTGGTAGTCCAAGGAGAAGGGAGTTGGAACTTGTTGTAAAACATTGCAGATTGTAGCCCATGTCCTGCCTGAATACCATTGATTGATCGTTTTATGAAAAGTACCTTTAATAAAGCTGGATATTGTTTGGCTTGGACTGTTTTTACTAGTGTTCTGTTTGCTTCCTAGTGCTCAGGGTTACATTGGTAAACTTGAGCACAAATTAATTTTACACAGAGCTCTGATCTATATGTTGCCCCTGTCAAAAAAAAAGTATGGTGCATTTCTGGAATTTTTTTAATTCGTAATGCAGGTGGAGAAATTGTGTGATTGAATACTTTGCCATGAAAGCTTAGTAGTGGCAGGGAAAATGGTTCTAGGTTAGTGTTTTCCCTGATTTGCTATTTCTGAATATTAATTTGTGTTCTTTCCCCATACCTGTGTTCCAAAGAGGTATGGTCATAGGACAGTTCTGCTGTAATTTTGAATGACAAGTCTCCTTATGGAAACCGCAGTATTTAATCATTCTGGAGAAGTAGAAAATAAGTTAGAGGCCCCAGTAGTGGTGGGTGGAATATGAGTACATGGAGATGTTGAAGGTGATCAACTGCATCCACGTGCTTAATGCAAGGTTGAAGTAAAGGACAAATATATTACACAAGTAATATTCTTAAGTTAATTTAGTTTTGATCTGATAATAGAAATAATGAAATGAATCTATAACTTTTAAGACCAAAAAGGTGTCACTCCATATTGAATATTTAAAGACTGTGGAGCTTAGTACAGCTTTGATAGTCCATGCCTTTCTAATGAATCAGCCCACTCTACAGCACTCTATAGGTGGCAAGCTAACAAAATTTGCTACCTAAGTTGGAGCAGCGAACAATGTCTGGCAGGAGAGCTTGCACATGCTTCTGCCCCTCTCTTGCTGTCAAAGTGACATATTAAATAAAATGTATAACAGTTTACTGTCCTTGCTTGATACTTAGGCAATCTCCTGGAATAGATACCTCATTGTATTATAGTAGGGCCAGACTTGGCTCTGAGCTTCTGAGGATGTGATCCTATCTTTGTTTTAATAGGAAAAAGCTATGACTCCAGCCAGCTCTATTTGCAGGGAGTTGTAGAACTTATTTATATTTAAAGCTACATAGGATTGCACACTAAACTTATTTCCTTCTTTAGACTTGTATAGGTTGGTTTGCATGAGCAGGTAAGCCAACATGGCTTAAATCGGAGGCACATGCTGAGTGCAGCTACCTGCTTATCTGTCCAGGTGCAGCTTGTGTTGGTCAAATGGCTTGTTTGAGGAGGAAAGAACCGTCAGATAACTGGTGGCCTGTTCTACAGTCATTTGAAGGTTATTTCCACCATAGACAATTATGATAAGCTGCACTTAAGCTAATGGTAGCCTAGACACACTGAGAATGGAAACATGGTTAAATAATATCACTATGGCTTGTTTTAATTGTCTATATGTTCTCATAGCTTTTCCAACCCCCGCCCCCCCAAAAAAGTATGCGGAGTGCTGAGATTTTGCCAAACCTTCAAAATGCTGCAATGTGTAAATTTACACACTTGGATTTGTGATAGCAAAGAATTCATTTTCATGTCTTCTGTAGATGGTTGTCCTTTGTGCACCTGCTCCATCAGAACATGTTGCTGTCCTACACAAAAATGCACACACTTCCTATTTCTTTTTGTACTCTACCTTTTCCCAGCTGTGCAGTAATTTACATGAGCATGCTATCCTAAGCATAAGCTCGGTTTATGAACACACCACTAACAATGGGATAAATTCAGATGAAGTTGTCGTATTCAAAACATGATTTCTCTGGTACTCATTGTAAAATGTCATTGAATTGGTTCTCCAGAAATAAAAATTACAGGTGTAAGATCTAAGATGCTGCTTGTTGCAGTTTTCCTTCAAAAACTAAAGAGCAAACTTACATGGTGTGCATAAGAACTATATATGCTGCCCAGATACATTAAAATCAACAAGATACTGTAACTTCAGGACAGGCATTGCAACTTCTTATATTTTGAAGTGGCTGCTTCATTTGGTGGCTCATATTAGAACTGGAGAATCCTGACAGATCACTTAGGACATGACTTGGTCTCACAGTTACCTGTAGTATGCACCTAGTTAATATTTAGTGGTGCTTCAAAGAGCTGTAGGAGTTCGGTCTGTTAAAATTGGATGGGAATAATAAGTTTTGTCTAAAGCGAATTGCGTTTCTGCTTTATATCCCTTTTAAAGGCAGCTTAGCTAAATAACTTAGAATGTGACTGGAAAAGATGTTAAGTTCCTCATTTCTGAATCACTATGGCCAACTAATTTTCTTCAGACCTCAGGTCAGTTTTTCCCTGACTATGCAACCCGTTGGTCATTGCTTTACCCATGCCTCTTAAATGCATTTCTAAATACTTTCATCCTTTTGGATACCAAGGCACCATACTAGGGAGGGGACTAAAGCTAATTATACCATGAAAATATGCGATCAAGCAATAAACAAGACTATTCTGAGGCAGCAATCGACTTACCCTGCAATCCTATACATACTGGAAGTAAGCCCTGTTGAGATCAAGGCAGTTAACATCTGAGTAGACATAGGACTACTATGTGCATCGCACCATCAGTGTTAAATACCTCGGCAAATAAAAGTTTGGAGCTGGTATCGGATTACAGTGATTCTGCAGGCTGTGTTTCCATGTCGGTTATTTCATAAAGAGAAAAAGCTCCCTTGCTGTCACAACATGCTCCCCCAACTGAAGAGCATTGAAGAGCTTTATTAACCCCATATTCCTCTATAGAGAAGAAACCTGATCCATGTTCCACAAAACATTACTGAATTCACAGGAAGCCAAATATGAAAAAGTACACCGTGTGTAGTTCTTCATCATGGTCTCTATCACACACGCGGATTCCTGTGTTCAGGAAGATTCTCGGCTTTAACGGTTTTGGCGGGAACTGCCCTCCCCTCTTCCAGGTGGGGTTCCCGCCCTTTTGCCAGTCTACTTTGGACTGCTGTTCGCTGTGCCTCAGGTTTCTCTCACTGCTATTTAGAATACCTTCTACTACTTAAAACTTCACCTTAAACTTTCAACCTTAAACCTTCTACTCTTTATTCCTCTTTCGATTTTTCGCAAATCCCCCCTTTTTCCCCTCATTTCCACAAAATATATTTTAAAACCCCTCTTATCATCTGACCCTTATTTCCAGATTCTATTTTCTCATCAATGGCTCAGTGATCCAGGTTCCAGAAGTGTGTTCAATGTGGGGCTAAAATGCCCTCGATGGATACTCACTCTATCTACTCTGCCTGGGCAAAACCACTGAGTAGGAAATGTGCACATGGCCAAGCTTTTACAAAGCAGGCACGTAAAAACCAGGAGAGTCACCTTAAAAAGGAGCTTTGGGATAGAGCACCTTTTCAAACAAGATAGGTTGAAGATACTCAAGAAATAATGCCTTTCATTCTGATAGAAAAACACTAATCCCTTTATTAAGATTTCATGATAGTACTGTTCATAAGGAAAACTAAAAAAAATACATTGGGTTGTATCTTGATTTTAACACTATGTAGTATAGATCTGTGGAAATGAGAAGTTTGACTAATGCTAGATACAACCCATCTTGTTCCTTAAAAAGTTTTTAACATGACTCTACGTTGTATAGCTTAACTAAGATTTTCAGTCATTTTGTTATAACAATACTGGTGGATAAATGTCCCCATAGTTTGGCTAATTTAGAAGGTCTTCAAAATCAGAACAGTATGATGGTGCACAAAGTCTGAGGAGAGAATGTTAAGGTGCAGTCCAAGAGCTCTGGAACTCTGAAGGCTGAGCTTGGGCTCTGCCCCCTCACAGCCAGGCAGAATCCTTCATGTTTTAATTGAAATAGCGTAACAGTATCTATTGTAGCAACATGGTAGTAGAAAGGGCTACAGTTACTGCTAGCATCAGTTTGGCATGCAGAAGGTCCCAGTGTCAATAATCGCTGCTTATTACAAAAAGAGCAGGAGGCAAATATTGGGAATACACCTGTACCTGAGCCCCTGGACTGCTGCTAATGCTTTGACTTAAAATAAGACAGCTTCATGTGTAGAGGCACGTACATGTAGACTATTCTAGCTGTGTGCATGGCCAGCTTCTACATAGTTTTACGCAAATATTCCTCACCCCTTTTGTGTGGGAACAAAACGGAATTTGGCCATATAAATTGACTTACTGGCTCATTGAAATGGTTGCTATTAACAATCTAACAAAATTGTTGCTCTTAATAAATAATTTATAACAATGGAGATCACACACTCAAGGCATTAGTGGGGCATCCCTTACCCTATTTAAGAATTTTTATACTGCCCAACAGCCAAAACTCTCTGGACAGTTTATAACACATTTTAAAGTTTAGAGAGCCAGTGTGGTGTAGTGGTTAAGAGCACGGGACTGAGACTCAGACGATCTGGGTTCTAGTCCCCACTCAGCCATGGAGCCAACTGGGTGACTTTGGGCCAGTCACAGACTCTCAGCCCAACCTACCTCACAGGGTTGTTGTTGTGGGGATAAGATGGAGGAGGAGGAGGATGTAAGCTGCCTTGAGCCCTTTGTAGGAAAAAGGCAGGATATAAATCAGTAAATAAATAAAAATAAATAAATAAAGTTTGCATGTAAATTATAGATTACTTTATAGCTTGATACCAACTCCCCCCCCCCCTTTTCATTACAAGTCAAACCCTAATACTAAAAAATGTGGGACCATATGAAGTTATTTTATTAGATCTCCTGTAATTATACTTTGAATAGTAGTTTATCTATCTATTAATAGAAATTTACTAATGATAGTGGAATATTATATGGCAAGGCATTTGGTGTGGAATATTTGAGACTCTTATCAAGTGATCTTGAACTGAGAAATTTAGAAACATAAATATCTTGTTCTAATAAAATGGGGTGTTGAAAAGAGTCAAACAGCCAGTATAGAAATTAAACAAATGTGTTTTATTCCTAAAACCAACATAGCAACTAGAGTCCCAATAAAGTCCCAGTAGTTGATCCTGCCTCAAGAGTCTGTTTTTGATTGTCTGAGTCCGAGTTCAAATTGCAGCTCTCACGAGAAACGTAATTAGTTTGTATGTTTGTATCCTTAATTGCAAT